CAAATATCACCATGCCCCCCCGGAAAATATATAAGAATGTCAAGATAGTATTTATTGCGGAAATCCGATTCCAAAAACGATAATTTCTCACCAGTTCTTATACGGATGTCCACTTAATAAAAATTTATCTATTGATATATTCCTGCACCCACCATCTAATCTTATTTTTACATTATTGTGTTTACTGGGAAATATTTCTCATCTGGTTTTGCTTTTTATAGACCGATATAAAAAAAGTAAATGGTTTATGGAATAAAGCTATTAAACCATCAGCATCATCATCATCACCACCGATAACATCATCATCACCACCAAAACATCATCATCACCACTGGTAGCATCACCATCATCATCGCCAACATCACCATCTCCACCATCTATACATGATTATTATGATAACAATACCAATGATCACGAAGATGACAATAATAATAACAACGATAATAACGATAATAATGATAATAATGCTAACAACAGCATTAATAACAATAACAATAATAATAATAATAACAGTAATGGTAACAATGGTAATGGTGGTGATAACAATGGTAGCATTGTCGATGGTTCTGTGTGGCGGAAAAAAAGAAAGCATAATGATAATGATAATAGTAATAATGGTAATAGTGGCGGTAATGATAATAATAATGATAGCAACGATGGTAATAATAGCAATAATAACAATAATAACAATGATAATAATAATTCAACAACAACATCATCACCGGCAGTAGCGTCAACGTCAACAACATCATCATCACCGGCAGTAGCAACAACGTCAACAACAACATCATCATCACCAGCAGTAGTGACAACATCAACAACAACAACACCATCAGAACCACCATATAATCTTCGCACAAGAAGACCCAATTCCCCTAGCTATAAATGTGGTCGTGTAACTAAAAAATATCGAAAAAAAAATAAACCATTATCACAACCACAACCATCACCACGACAATCACCACGACCATCACAACCACGACCATCACAACCACGACCATCACCACGACAACTATCGCCACGACAACCCTCACCACGACGACAACAACCATCACCATCATGACAACCACCACCATCACCATCACGACAATCATTATATGATAATTTTGATTTTTTCGAAGATAATAATTATGGCAGTGGTGATAATGACGATAACAATGAATGTACAGGAGGATGCCCCAAACATTGTCGAGATGATTAATCCATTTTTTTATATTTTTATCATGTATTTTTATTAATAAAGATTTAGGAAAACATATAATGTATCATGTGTTATTTTTCGTGTAATGTATAACAGTAATTTTTCTTGGCGTTTTTCCTTCCAGGCCGGAAGTGAAATTTTTCTTAGCATTTTTTGTGTGATGTGATTATTTGAATATGTCTGTATCTTGTATAAAAAATGACTAACACACTATCTACCAATTTGTTAAGAGAATTAAATTCCAAGCTTGTGGTCGAGATCACTGAGATTAGAAAGAAGTATTCTGAAGTTGAGGCTGAGAATGTGAAGCTAAAACAGGTTATAGAAGAGAAAGATTCGTATGCGAAATTAAGAGATATAGAGCTTAATACCAGAATTATAGAATTGGAACGGTCTGCGAAGGAACATACTGAGAACGCAAGACAAAGTCAAACAGAAAATTCTGAACTTAAGGATAGGGTTGCAAATTTAGAACAGGAATTCGAGAAGTGAGAATTACAATTATTGGCCTGCTCACCATTACCACCAATTTCCAAATCAGAAAAATGCGAATCTACCTCTCAAATCGAGAACCAGAATTTAATCATCGCTTCACAAAAGAATACTAACATTTTGCAATCTTCAGTTTATTTAGAATTACCAGTAATTTCTCGACTGGAGGGTGGCTCACAATTATCCACCTCAACTATTGAAATTCACTCTGACAAAGAAAACAGTACAGGCTCTAAGGTCCCAAACCAGGTACAAAACGTTATTTCTTCTGAAACGGATCTTGATAATATCACTTCTGCCACATCTAACCTTAGTGAAATTGAGCAAAGCTCAGAATCTGCACCATCTATCTGCACAGAACCTAAATCATTGGAGGATAAGGAGATAGATGAATTTCTGGATTCAGCGTATAAGGAAAAGGTTAGTAAAGAGATAAGAGAGAGAAATAGAGAAGCAAAGCTCCTTATCTTCAATAATGTACTGACAAACTCAGGTCAATCGCACAAGAAGAAAATAGCGCAAGATATTGTACAAGATGTATTTGATTCGCCTAAGCAAAGTTCAGGACTACAATCCACGAAAAATCATATAACAGAAATTTCGCTTCTGGCCCGGAAGGAAAAATTCCAAGAAATATCTGATGCATTACAAATCATAGCTTGCTTATATGAAAAAGCATGCAATGCGGAAAACGAAACACTAAAAGCCAATCAAGCTGAAATTTTATGCTTGTATAACTATTTTAAGGAATTCTATTTTCAGGTTAAAGAAATTATGAGAGCGGACCAGATCGGTGAAAAAAAAGCAAAGGGAATAATTTATAATTTTATTATTAAATAAATCCCTGACACTAAACAAGAAAATTTATACAAAAAGACATATAGAGCTAGAAAGATTCATAAGCTATTCGAAAAGATAGGGGTGGATAAAATTAAGTATATTAAAACATATAGTGCAAACTCTATCTCGGAATTAACTAACGACAAAATTCAAACCATTATTGATTATTTCTCCAAGAATCCCAATACAGAATTAAGCAATGATCGAGATGAGTTTATTGACGATTCTTCAGACGTTTTGACAGAAGCTAAGGTATGCGAAGAAATTTTATCGGAAGCAGAGGTAAGTACTATAATCACACCCTCTATCCCATTAACTCATACCACCAATTCGAAAGATATGATAAGTAAGGATAACAAATCTTCATCGAATACTGAGGTAAGCACATCATCTGTATCTTCATCCAATCTAACACATGACCGTACCTATTTCTGTAATAAAATAATAGAAAAATATCCTAATTTATATAAAGATGGTAATAGTGAAAATGTAGATTATTACGGAATTGCTGATGAGACATTATGTCCTTTATGTAAATTAGATCATGATGGCGATGAAGATATAGAAGGTAGATATGAAATTAGATCCTATTATGTTAAATGTGAACAGCGTGGAATTGAAATTGAGGTAACAGCATGAATTTTAGATATCATAGATATCAGCTCCGCTATCTTATGCTAATACAATTCGCTTAAGTCTTTAAGGTGTCTCTCTGGGGTATGTTTATTTTTCGCTGGATATTGTTAATTTAAAGAGACGTGCAATCATATAAAAAGTGAACATGAATATACAGGCAAAGACCAATAAATCATTAACTCCCAAATATTTGGAATGGCATAATAAATTTACTGAATTATCAAGTATTTATTCCAAGTTATATAAGAGATACAAGAAAGAAACCGGTCTTGACCCCTGGATAAACTCTGAAACTTTCGATCTCTCACAAATAGAGGATACCGATAATTATCCTTCACAGGATTGTGTTATCAAAATTTTCAAGTTTCCGGAAGAGAAAAGTACAATCCATGAAGCAGTACATAAACGCTTCCCTTTCTTGTCTTACACTAATTCGAATGCATGGCACCGGGATGTTTTTAAATATACTAATTCAGAAGTTAAATGTCCGATATGCAAAGAGATACATACACGATATTGTATATGGGGTGATTGGAGCGATCTAGGTAAAGATGATCATTATTATCTCAATTGTTCACTTCGTATCGATCAAAAGAAAGTTATAATTGCTATACAGAACAGTTTGCTGAAAACTCAGGTAGCGGTATTAATCAAAAACCGCCTTTATCAATATGCCATCGATCATGGAATAGACCCCAAGGAATTTTTGATCATTACAGAGGCTGAAAGAAATAGGTGGGTTATGAATTGTTTCTGAGAGGATTTGGAAAGAGATATGCGCTTCTATTGTGGTGGAATAGAGAGAAAGGAAGATCCAAGAAAATATCATAAGTTTTTAACAGATCGGGATAAGCTGGTCGGTGAAAAGTTATCACGTCGTGGTATACTAAAAAGTGGTTTAAGTACTGCATGGCTTGATGAACTTATGGAAAAATGGGAAAAGATCCATACTCAATTCACACAGATATTTGGCCAGAACTTTGACCCTTTTGAGAAAAAGACTTTACATGTACCGCAGGTAAATATTCAATCTACACCATCTAAACGTCAATTCCAAATTTCTGTTCTACCTAAAGACCTGGAAGAAAGGCAACAAGACATTATTAATATGGTATTAGAGCGATTTCCTTATTTGACTCTGAAACATAGTTTTAACAATGATTACTTCGATTTTAACAGTTCTATATCCTGCCCTATATGTAATAAAAATCATAAAAAAGAAAATATAAGAAATCATATAGAGGGTTTTTGGGGTAGTGGCGAATTTTGCGGTGAAAAAGCTTATCGTCTTAATTGCTATACAAATAAATATCAGAATTCAATCCACATAGTAAGTATAAAAGCATAAGATGTGTCTTGGCACTAGCTCTGCTATTGAATATCGTATAACAAGCATAAATCATTTTTTCGCGATCACATGGGGTTGCTCCCTTGGAGCTCTATGTCACATGCCAATGATCAATTATTTTTTTCTGAAAAATTTCACAGAACAATGTTTGTCAAAATCACGTGTTTATTTTTTCGAAATAATTTTTGAATATATCTGCATCTTATATAACAATGACTAACACACAATCTAAAATCGATTTATTGAATTAGCGTATTATTATACTTGAGGCCAAAAACACCAAGGTTAAGGTAGAGAATGTAAAGTTAAAACAGGCTATGGGAGAGAATGCTAAGCTTAAAGCTGAGTCTTTAGAGGAGGTTAAGATGTATGAAAGGATTGAAAAAACTATGCTAGAGCTGGATGGAGTTTTATGTCACATGCTTAGTCACTGTGCGACTGCCTTTGTCAAATCATAGTTACGATCGGATTCACACTCAATTATTAACACTTATGAAACACGAATTAAAAATAGCAAATAATTGCTTTATTAATAGGCATAGCCCTGTAAAATTATTTTTTAAAACACTATAAACTACAATGTAAAAGGCTAATCCGGTGAATAAAAGTATGGAGTAGAGAGCTAAGAGGGAGGAATAAGTTAGATCCTAGGCTCCTTTACATTGTAAAGAAATGGCTGTTCCTTTCCCTACCCCATACTGTCTACCCATCTACCTATTTTATTAACTGTACAAGCTTTACAATCACTACTTCTATTATAAAAATTTTTAACCGTAGATTGTCTAATATTCCCTCCAAGTTCACGAATACGCACTGCTACGAAAAAATACATTTCATCAAAGATAAATTTTTTTTCGACTGCGACCCTATCGAAGATTTCTTTAAAGCGGGAGAAAATTGCTAAGGTAATATCCGTGTATTGAATTCGTTCAGATCCTGTAATCAAGAATAATGATTAGTATTTTTTTCGTTATACATTCCACGCATCTCAGCTCGATCCGTACCTGATGAATTTGGAGATGAATGAGTAGAAGATTGAGAATGGGCGGAGGATGACAAAGCCTCGCTTGGTTGATCAGACCCCCTCCTGTTCGTGCTCTGGGTAAGTGCATAGCGTTGATTAATTCCACTCTGGAGTGATACAATTCTTCTACCGATCGTTTCGAATTCAGTTGTAATTTGATTAAAATTATTATGGTAGGTTTCTAGAACCTGTTTGATTTCGTTATATTCCCCAGTTAGATTATTAATTGTGGAAATAATATTCTGCGCCTCCGCTACATAGTTAGCATCACGAGAATTAATTCTTGCGGTAAGTTCATCATTGATTTCGGTTCTAATTCTACTGATTTCTGCAATGAGATTTTGCACGACATAGTACAAAAAGAAGCATGTTGCAACAATCCCAAAGCACAGAGGAATGTGTTCGGGAAATATTGTCACGAGGAAGAAAAACAAAGAAGCGGTTAATACCATATAAGGCATATTCTCCGAAATGTTAAATGAATGCATCTGCGTGAGAAAAGAAAATCCGATTAGAATATGTGTCAGAGACACTAATTCCGTTATTAATCGTGAGGCGCACGGGTATTTAATCACAACGAAGATACCTTAATGAAACTCTGTTTCTAATTCAAACAAAGCTAAGTAGAATAAAGTTTTATCTCGAGTTTGTTTTTACGAGATTTTATTTATTGTTTGTAATGCTTATTTTTTTAAATTTGCGAAAAAATGAGATGACAAAAAATTGCAACTTTTATAGATCCCGGGGCAAATCACCATTTATTACATGCGAAAACTGGAATTCTCCAGAAAGAATATGCAATTACGTTGTAAAGATAACTATGCTTGTAGAATGTTCGATGAGTCATTAAACTAAAAATAAAACGTAGCCTTTCAATACTTTATGCGTCAAAGACACTAGCCCGCTATTAAACACCCCAAAATAAAGTGTATATGGATAAATGAGATTTTCAACACGTGTGTATTGTTAAGCTTTATCGGTGTTCATACTATATATTTATCTGCACTGCATTTGTGATCAATTATACCGAAACAATGTTCATTCTACAAATTTATCCGGAGCAATGTTCATCCTGCTTGTCATTCTGCCGTCATTAGCCCGTGCACAATTAATTTTGATCAATTAGTACCACGTTAACCCTCAAGACACATAATGTCACCCTTTTGAGCTGATCAGCGAAATTAAGTCATACGAACAATCACGTTATTTCAAACACATGCTTCGATCACGGGTAATGAGAACGTGCGATGTAATACGTAAAAATAGTTAATCTAAGTCACGCTTTATATGTCGATTAATAAACTTACCAGATGATTAATTTATTTTCTTGTGGCATTTTCGCTTTTTTTACAACTGTGACCTTACATACATCTTCCAAACCTGAATTGGAGAAATATGAAGTGCTTGTATCAGAAGTGTCAGTATCCGAATCTGTGAAATACTTGACTCCACCTTTTTTGCTCTTATTTTGATGTGAGCGAGAATTAGAAGGACCTGACTCATTATCATTTAGCTATACCAATTCTTCTATCTTTCCAAACCTCAATTCATTCTCAATATTGAAAAGTCTTTTAAAAATTCCATAATATATATCATCTTCTATAGAATGAACCGACTTCCAAATATTATTGAGGTATATTTTTAATGAAAGCTTTCCACACCTATCGCCTAAATCTACTTTAGGATATTTCTTATTCTTGCTAACTCTGATATTTTTGGGTACATCATCATTTAATCTTCTGAATAGTGGAGGTACAGGAGTTATGTTGTGAAATATCCCATGATGGCTCTTTTGGTATTTATTATCTTTGGTGTTTGAAAGAAGTTTCTTGGTTATATTTGTGATCTCCTTTTTTGATAGATCGGACTTAGGTGAGTTATTTTTACCAGAGCTGATTTTATGACTCTTCGAGCTGTCCATGGGCCTGCCATCTCCTTCGATCAATGGGATACTCATATTATCTATTACAATTTTACCGCGGTATTCATAGGTTCTGGAAGAAAATCCAAAGATAATTTTTACTTTATGCATCCATAACCATTCTTGTCTCAGCACCAAATTGAATGATGAATTTTTGCGAATTTGAAAGTCTATTACTTCGGTGGCATCTAAGCTTCGCCACTTTCCTTTATAGCACAATTGTAGATCTAAGCATTTTATTTCTGCGCCTATCAAATCATCACCAGATATGCCTTCCAACCCATAATCTTCTTCAAGCTTATCGAACAACCTCTTACCAATAGTATTAAATTTCGAGGCTGTATCAA